CTATCACTCAATATTTATCGCCAGGATCGACCAAGAAGAAAGAAACGGAAACTTGTTGAAATACTTTGTGCTGAGAATTCTATATTGTACCGAAAATATAATATTGAATAAAGCTTATAATAATTAAAAAAAAAAACAACTGAGAGAATGTCTACCACTCAGCATATTCTTGCGAAATCGTCTTAAGTATGCGCTCACTTATACAGAATGGTGCAGATGACACGTGCTGTTGACCGGGACGTGAGAATGAGGTCTCTGATGTATCTAGCGTGGGATCTGAAGTAGATGTAGAGATCCTGCTAGTAGGTTTTATAGGTCCATGTCGATCAACCTTGAAGGTCTTTTCATGACGAGGAATCACGTGGAAAGGTCCTTCGTAAGGCTGTTGCAAAGGTTTGCGTACCGAGTATACTCGTATGAAAACATTTGAACAGGTAGATAACTCTCGAGGAAGAGCGACCTGTCGATGTTGTGTTTGAGTTGACACCGGAGGCAGTGTTCGCATAAAGTCAGACAGCCGATGGACGTAGTCTGACTTATCGAAATCGTTACTACTCCGTGGTGTGAAGAATTCGCCAGGCAGACGCATTGTCGTGCTGTATACGAGTTCAGCGGCGGAACATTGAATATCTGCCTTTAACCTCGTTCTGATACCTAAGAGAACGGGCGTAAGGTTTCGTACCAATTGTTCTGAGTTGGTGAAACCGTTCAACTAAACCATTCGATGCTGGGTGGTAGGCGTTAGTACGTGTGCGTTCGTACCAAGGAGCAGGGTCAGTGAGGAGAATAATGCGGACTCGAATTAATGTCCTCGGTCAGTCGTGACGGTCGAGGGACAACCGTACAGCGCTATCCGTCGTTCTACGAAACGGTGAGCAGCTGTCTCCGCTGTGATAGACGTCGTGAGAATAGCTTCGGGTCACTGTGTGAAACGATCGATGCATGTGAGTATGCGATGGTGGCAATGGTCCCACAATGTCTATATGAACATAGTCGAACCGAGCATCAAGCGTAGCTAACGCGTTAATGGGGCAGCTACGTGCCTGTGCACATTTGATCGCTGACATTGCAAGCACCGCTTTGCCCACGTACAGACATCTTTATTCATAGACGGCCAGACGAATCGCGCAGCGATGAGGTGTAATGTGGCTGCGATACCTGGATGAGACAATCCATGCAGAGCATCGGAAACGAGACGACGGTAAGCAGAGAGTACGATGGGTCGGGGAAAACCAATAGAAGTATCACACAATTACTGGTATGATTGGTTATAATAATAATTGTTTCCATTATACCAATGGCGTTCTCTTCATAAAAGTAGGTCACTACAAGTACGTGCTTGTCAGTTCTTCTCCCAAAGCTATCCACTAGAGAAGTGGTCACTTCAGCTGCGAGAATTACAAACGGTGACAACTGCTGACGGGAAATAGTGAGAGCGCACCTGGGTGTTTGTTATTTGATGTGCGATCTTTTAAGGGTTGTCTCGGGGAGAATGGTGAGGTTTTGGTAATATGTTTGTGTTGGAGTATTTTGGCCGGTGGGTACCTCTTGTTCTATTGATAGAGGAAACCAAACTAGTAGCAAATACACCTTTAATTAGATCTTGGAACAGTACACAGGGGACTATTAAGTTGCTTTTTTCCAAACACACAAAGCTTTTCAACATTCGGTATAGGCAAATAGTAAATATAATCCCTATACAAAATAAGGAAGTGAATCAGTACTTGAACTTTAATGTTCTGACGTTTCCTTAGATTTTTTTGGTCAACTCAACCGTTTAACCTAAGTTGTTGTACAACTAGCAGATAACCTTTTATTCATCTCTAGCTCAGCAAGAATAATCTCAGGTGTTGTGGTTTTTTCTCATATGAATTAAGTAATAAAACTATCACTAATTGGTTGATCTTTTCTACATTTAGTCCCCGAGATTTATGTCTCATTTAAAGAGACACTGTACAGTGACATCGTGGACTTCATAGTAGGAATGTGCGTGCATTTTAAATATTTAGGAACGATTCTGGAAAGACCATGCAGAGTCGCCTTAAAACTTTTGGTTTAAAAGAACAAAACTCAAGGTGCTGGCTCCAAATTTCAATCCGCTACTCGAAATCATTTCACCTTGTTATACATTATAACTTACTGTTCTTCATTACTGTATTTTCTTACCTTTAACAATAATTTATCCTAGTGATGTCAGTTAGTATGAGTTTTGCCTACCAACTTACCATACCCTTGTCCGTTCACATCCAAGTGCCTTCCTGTTCGTCTGTTCTTCATTTCTTTCAGCATCGCGTTCGCAGTGCACGTCTATGGAACTTATTTTTACACGTGTAACAAACTGAAAAAACCTAACGTACGCGTTTTTATAGATCACCGTTCAGATCTTTATAAACGTCATTTTGGTTGGTCTTTGGTTGCTTGCAGAGCTTCCTGAGGTATCGCTTACTGTCTATGTTTTGCGGTCTATTTGGGATTTTAGAGGGTCGTCTAACCGATGGTCTTTGGAATGTCAGTTATATTTCTGCTGTAACACTTGCCAAATCTAAAGTTTCTGTTCGTTCAATGGTTTTACTTTTTGCGGTGTCTTTGTCATTACACAGGCGGGATAGCTTGGCTGAAGTGATGTCTTCTCAGAATTGTATGATATTTGTCCAACTATTTCTTATCAAAGGCTGTCCTACTTTCGAACAACCTACTCTCCGACGCTTAAATATCAAATAAAATGAGAAAGTTTTGTATAATGTCGTCGTACGGAATTCTACTTTTTTGACAGCTAGATTGCTGCTATTTTCCCTTCTCAACGCTCACTCATTGCTCATTACTGTTAACAGTTACTTGGGTGTGATAAACCAACAACTTGGTGAAGTTACTACGAGAAACGAATAGAAGCTATCCGATAAACCTCAGTGGGTGCTATGAAGGTTCTAAAACTACACGCTATTAATAATGTTAAAGTATAAGGTAGTTGAGGGTTACATAATAGATTGTCACAACAATATACAATCCATACTGAATTCTGGCTTGTGAGCAGAAAAATCAGATCACAATATAAATGATTCAAATGGTTGTGGACGGAATAGAAGAAGCTTTCGCTTGACAGGCTTCCGTGTCTAGTAGCAGGGGATCACCAAAACCTCGATGCAGGAGCCTAGGTATGTTAACAATAAAAGAGGAAAAAGAAATTGGTAAATCATAGTATGATACTATCCTTAGTCCTAAAGAATAGATCAAGTTGCACCTCAAAGGACTCCTGGGAAGTCGCTTGAACTAGCTCAACCGGCAGCAAATTCCAGCATCTAACAACCCTTCAGGAGTGGGGGTTGTGTCTACAGTCTGTTCTCCTATGTTGTGTCTCAACTTTCTGCGAGTTACCCCCCTAGATTTGTCTTGAGGCTCAGCTTAAGTAGGTGTTTAAGAGGATGTCCACAAGTGTTAATGATACTGTAAGCCATGAGAAGGTCACTTCGAAGACGTCTTTACTCTAATGGGTAAAGGTTAAGTGAATGGAGGCGCTCTTCATAAGGTTCAAATTTGAGTCCTCGAACTGATTTCGTGGCTCGCCGTTGGATACGCTCCAGGATGTCCTTATCCTTTTGGAATGAGGGGGGAAATACTATGTTTCCGTACTCTAAATGGGGACGGATAAAACTACTGAAGATTATATGGAAAGTTCTTCCGTCAAACTGGCCAAAAATGCGCTTCAACGTTACCAGTGCAAGGTTTGCTCGGAAGATATTTTTGTCACAGCGTAAAACTTTAAATCGTAGGGCACTAGGACTCCTAAATCTTTTTTGACTTGGGATACTACTAGAGAGGAGGTACCTAAGTTGTAACTGCAGTCTGCGACATGTCGCAGATGGACTACTTTACACTTCGAAGTGTTAAAGGTAAGTCCGTTATCGTCTGCCCAACTTTGAAGTCGAGTCAGATCCTCCTGAAGTGCCTGCCTATCGTCTTGGTTGCGTATCTCTCTTCAAAGTTTCACGTCGTCGGCAAAAGTAATAAGGCTGACGTTACCTGTTGGGTAAGATCATTTATGTGAACCAAGAAGAGAAGAGGTCCTAGTACTGAGTCCTGGGGACCCTACTAGGACATTCCATAGCCTGAGATAAGGTGAAATTAGCCCTGACCTTAAAATGTCGATTTTCGAGTATGAAGTAAGCCAATCGATTAGAGGTGGTCTGATACCCAATCGTTTGAGCTTATTGATAAGACATGTATGGTTAACCTTATCAAAAACTTTTGAGAAATCTAGGTAGATGATATCAACCCTCCCCTTCTGATCGAGGATGCTTGTCCATCTGTCCACCGCAGTCAGCAGGCTGGTAATACAAAAACAACCCTTCCTGAAACCATGCCGTTGAGGTGGGAAGAAATTTAAGGACAGTAAGTAGTCATTTATACCATCGCATATCAAGGACTTCATGATTTTTGAGGGTATGGAGAGAAGAGCCACCGGTCGGTAACTTGAAGGTTCGCTGAGTCGACCTCCTTTGAAAATTGGTGTGATGTGAGTAAGCCTCCAATTGTTCGGTAGTGTGAGAACAGCACGCTAAGCGGCGTTGCCAAGATTGAGGCTGCTTCCCTCAGTATGACGGAATGGACTATATCCGGGCCAGAGGTGTCTGATCTCAAGTGTTGCAGTTTCCGGAACACCAAGTCAGCGCTCAAGCTCACTTCGGAAAGTTTTTTGGAGTTTCAGATGAAGCTTTCATCAGTATAGTTGATGTGGGTCAGTTGAAATGTCCGAGAGTATTGTTCAGCCAAAAGGTTAGCGGCGTCGCCGTCGTCGTTGGTCGGGCTGTTAAGACGTAGCAGTTAGGAAAATCCAAGTTTTCGGTAAGTTCGAATTTCAGAGCTGTCCTTAAATTTTTTGGTGTTTAATGTACTAATACATTAGGCTGAAATTCTCTTTGTTTGAGTGCATAGGTTTCGCATTCCTTAAAACATCCGTGTTGTTTAGTTTCTTGAGGTCACCGAAGGTCGAGTCGCCGACATAAATGCCCAGCGAGAGCTGTGGTTTTCGCGAAAGTGGTTAGTATTCCAGTTGTTTATTAGATTTGTGCAATTAATTTTTACTTCGCGTTACGTTCTCCAATTTTGTTACCCTTGGTTCATGTTTGTCTTTTTTAAAGAGTACTAATAGTTTGCCTGGAGCTCAGATACGTGATCACTCGTCGTGTATAGTTATTATAAAGGATCGTAGATATTGAGCACATAGTCAACTGTTCATTCTTGCCTGTTGTTCACCTAAACTTAATGAATGTGAGGTGTAAAACATTCTAGTCTTGAGACAGTACTGCTTCATCATTAGTGGAGGACGACTTTGGTAAGGCTCAAGCGTTCTCGAACTACTTTAGCAACGTGTATACCATAGAAGCGCCCTTCTCGTCAGCGTATACAGATCCCCCCATACATACACTGGATAGCGTGACCATTAAAGAACTCGATGTCTTTGATCTGCTAAATAAGCTTGACACAGGTAAATCCACGGGGCCCGATGAATTACATCCTAGGCTACTGAAGGAATTATCTAACTTCGTTGCGAACCCTTAAAGTACATGCTTTAACCTATCCGTTACGCAGGGTCGCTTACCGAAAGATTGGAAAAACGCCATAGTAAGTCCTGTCTTCAAAACAGGCACGAAACACAAACCTGAGAACTACCGCCCCGTTAGCCTAACTAGTGTGGTTGTTAAAATATTAGAAAAGATTATTCGGAAGGAGCTGTTTAAGTATCTCAATAAAAACCGGATCCTCTCGGAGAAGCAGCATGGCTTCAGAATAGGTTATTCTTGTCTCACTAACTTATTAGTGGCTCGTGAAAGCTGGTGTGCTCTTAAGGACCAAAAGCTACCTGTAGACGTCACCTTCATTGATTTCAGTAAAGCCTTTGATAAAGTTCCGCACAACCGGCTGTTATATAAGTTAAGACATGTCGGGATTGGAGGTAATTTATTGATGTGGATAAAAGACTTCTTAGTTGGGCGTCAACAAAGAGTTCGGGTGAACTCAAAGTTATCTAGCTGGGAAACTGTGCTTAGTGGAGTGCCCCAGGGTATAGTTTTTTGGCCAGTGCTATTCCTCTTGTATGTAAATGACCTTCCTTGTCTCCTATCATCATCGGTCTTGCTATATGCTGACGATGTCAAGATATGGAGAACGATACGATGTAAGAGTGATAGCTTAGAACTTCAAAATGACCTGAAGAAGTTATCTGAATGGTCTCAAACATGGCAGTTGCCGATAAATACTTCCAAGTGTGTTGTGATGCATATCGGTCATCAAGGCACAGATACATACACGATGAATAACACTGAGCTACCTGTCGTCCAGACATATAATGACTTAGGAGTTATCGTTAGTCAAGACTTAAAGACTACTGCACACTGCCGTGCAATAGCCGCCAAAAGTTTTAGAACGTTATGGTCAATACGTAGGGCTTTTAGTCATGTCGACACTAAGACGTTTTTGACTTTGTATACAGTGTTCGTTCGTCCTAAACTTGAGTACTGCATACAAGCGGCTAGCCCCTGCTTTAAAAAAGACAGAGAGCTCCTGGAAAAGGTTCAGAGAATGGCGACTAAGCTGGTTCCCGCAATAGCGAAGCTTCCGTATGAATCTCGACTGGCCAAGCTGAACCTTTTCCCGTTGTCATATCGCAGAACTAGAGGCGACTTGATTACAGTCTACAAATTGCTTAGTGATAAATTTGCACCTAACATGCCCTCATTTTTCTTGTCTTCCAAAACAGAGAGTTTACGAGGACACTCCAAAAAAGTTCATAAGCCGAGAACAAATTACTTGTCAGCTGACTATCGACTTTCCCATCGAATCATCAACGAGTGGAATTCACTACCTCAGCACGTGGTTGAGGCTCCATCCGTCGACTCTTTCAAAAGAAAGTTGGATCAACTGAGAGACCACCATTGCCAGGACTAACATAGGCCATCGAGCCTCCTGTCCTTCCCAAACTGAAACTGACTACTGTATCGTTTTGCATGATAGACTGGTCAGGACTTCACCTTCAGGTTTAGCCTCTAAATCATTTAGAAACTGCAGCTGGTAGTTGATAATGATATATAAAGGCTGCTATAAGTAATATAGTATGTGAAAGGCTAATTGAAGCCTTTAGTGCATCTGTTTACATTGGTCATGATCATACTCAGTAATGATTCTTAGCACTAACTTCATACTCTAACTTCGAATTTTACAGCTACTGAGACGAGACTGTGATTTATGTATAAACCAGTGAGATATAAGATATCGGGCCTTGGATTTTGGCGTGAAATTCATTCATCCATTGGCTAAATAGCGTTCTGGCATTTTAGCTGATGTCAGTTCGTGGTAAGAGCCCTAAAACTAGTTCCTAACCCTAACCAACTGAAAATCATAATTCTAACTCCTCACATTGGTTCAGGACCCTCACTATGTCCTAGTTAGTAGGCGGAGATTAGGAATGTTTTTCTAGCGTCGTTAAACAGTCCATGATTTATAGTCTCACCAATGTTCCCTATATTTACAAAACCCAATCGGCATAAAAGCTTAAACTCAGTTACGTAATGGATTATTCAATTCCATGTTAGTATTAAGTGATGTTATAACAGACAAACTTTGAGTTTGCAGAGAATGGTAAAGAATATTTGTTGAAATCATAATCACTTTGTCTTGGATACTTTATTCCGTCTTACCATTCGAATTCATTTTGTGTTCTTTCCTGGTGTCCATCATATTTCCATGATGCTTTTCACATAATTTTCATTTCAACTAGTCATCTATCTGGTTTTTTGCTTGAAGATTCAAAAGATAACTTGAAATACTCAAGATCAGATTTGAATGGGCAATCAGAAATAAATGAAAATCAACTGTTCCGAAAAAATTCAATCGAAAATTTACTCGATATGCCAATCCTTAGAAAGGAGCTGACCGAAATATTGTCATTCTCTGCTCTTGTCCCTTCACTTAAACCGTCATGTGTATATAGACAACTGGATGACCAAGTTTCACCAGAATCCAACGTTCCAATGTTAGTCAAGCGCTACTTTGATGAATTTGGATTTCGAATAGATGATCTTGGTAATATTTTGTGTAAATCATCCCCGTACACTTTAATTAACCCGTTTTATATAGCCCATCAATAAGGATAATATCGGTAATGTTGAGTACATATAAATCTAAAACAAACACCAAAAGGGGTCCTCATCGATAAAGCCGAGCGAATGAAAAGCACCTTGCACTTCGTTTTATAGGGATTCAGGTATTAAATACAACTGCAAATGACAGAAAATGTGAAGACATTAAACCAAATTAGGATTAAATAATTGTAGCCAGTTGCTGTGTATAAAATAAACTAGTTTACGTATGTTTTGAAATAAATTGTTTGATTAGATTTCGAAACCGTACAATTATATATAAATTCATTTGACTGTGTTCCGGATTATATTTATGTACCATCGCAGTTAAACTAGAATACCTGAAAAGTGACAAGAGTGCGGGTCTTTTGATACTGGATGGCTGTACCTCTAAAAGGTAATAATAATGACAAGATTTGGGATACAGTAATGGAAAGAATAGGTCACTCTGTTATACGAAATATAACGACTGCCAAACGGCTAACGGAACGATTATGTTACAGATAAAGCTAAGATAGATGCGAAAAAGTAAATGGAAGAATAAAAATTTGAGCAGTTTTATAAACCGAAACGACACGTCATGTCTTAGCTACATTGTCAGTCTAACTTCCAGCCGTGATTCTAAGAAAACAGATTATTCGGCCCAACCGACACGACCATCAAACGCCCTTACGCAATCCATGTATGCTAAATTCACCAAGCGTGGTGTCTAAATACAAGACGGAGAAGTTGATTTCTCTCTACATGATAGTGCACTGAATGGAAAGCGAATTTCAGTTCTTTATTGGAACTCAAAATCTGAAATTTAGCAGTTTTTTTATTGGTATTCTAATAGAGCATATAAGGATTTTCCCTTTCATTTACTCAAATCTATAACGTTCATACTATGAAATTATGTGTAATTATTCCTTTGGTTTACATTTCAATAAACGATAAGGGTTAGAATTCCTATATCCACACCCTAAGCGAATAGGTCTTAACTTTGAATCCATCAACTATCATGACTAAATAGAAACGTGCAGCTTTATTGGCATTTCAACCACTATATCCTAATGCAGCACAATAAGCTTTCTTGCTCCATCCGAGCTAGTATGTAGAGTGAAGACTACAGCTATCAGCAAACCCTCAGCAACGTTATACGGTATGAAAATTGTACGTCGCAGACCAGTTAGTTGGCAGGATTAGCTTTAATCGGGTCGATACTGTAATTGCCTTTGCCAGTGTAACTACGTCACCATTGAACGCAAAGTATGAAGCGATCAAAGTATCAACAAGTTATTTTGGAGAACTCTGAAGTGAGAGATCAACAAGAGACAGAGGCTGTTTCGATTCACTCCTCCTAAATGTACCGTTTTTTGGGAAGATGTTTCTAAAACGAACAACTCAATAGAAAGGTCATATAGAGACTCTAGCCAACTAATTGGCGCCACTTATCCAAACATTTATTGATGCCCTCAAACAGGAATAGAGTCCAAATGAATTAAAAATTGAACAGTCTGTTTCAGGTATCCGCTAAATAGCATGTAAAAACTAAGTGCAAGGCAGTAGCAGCATGTATCTGGCTGGTTGTAGGTGATTGCGTAAGTTGTTCGATACTAAACTTCTCATACAAAATATTACACAATTTGAGTTTGCATATTTAGACATATTAACCTGTTATAAAAATTAATCATTTTATCTAATCGCTCGTTTGCAACTAGTGCTTATTGATATGCTGATTTGATAAGAAGATACCGTCCTATATCAACAAGGTGTTATTTTTAATTAGTACATATTTACAGTAGAATTATGCATGCAGTGTTGAAATATTGAAAAGATTGATTAAATTTCATTTTTATATATTGTCCGTTGTACTTAGATTGCTTAACTCTTTATGATTATCTGTCAAAAATTAAAATGACTTCAATTATAGGACCTTATTCAGCCATATCATCTGTTCACTTTCTATATTTAACGCGGAGGAGTTCATATTCATGCCTAGTAGTTTTGAGATCATGACATATCCATACCTAAACTTTTAAAAAGTTATGTGTTAATTACTTCTACTTTAACTTATTTGTCAGGCTTGTATATTGTGCCGATCTAATCGAGATATATTGACTGGGACTCTCGTTCTTTTATGTCATATCATGCCAGGCAGGTCGGTCGGCGAGTGATAAGACTAAACGTCTCAAACTTAAGGTCAAGGATTGAAGTCATACAGTCAACTGCACAGGGGTTTGACAGTAGTACGATGTCTCCATCATACAACTAACTGCTTTCTCGTAAATAAAGGAAGGGGTTAGAAAAATACGTCTTCGAAAATGGCACATCCAACTCTTCCCCATTGATTTTCGTCACTGACGGTAGGATCTGAAAATTACGGAGTTAACGTATCAAAACTGGAGTCGTCAATATAATCTTTGATCTAGTTTTTTTTCGATACTTCAAGAGACAACCCTTCCAGGGTATTAGCATTTTGAAAATGACAACTACCTTCATACAATTAACGCCACACGAGATCACCTTACATTTAAAACCTATTTACCCCATGAAATTTCTGTTTTTCACTCCTAACCCTCATTTTCAGTTTTCGGTTCCTTCCATACGCACTAATGACTCAAGTTCGCTAAGTTCTATCCCAGGTTTACTAAAACCCCATTTCGAACTACAAGTGGAAGCTTACTGTGTTCAGACCCTATGTGGAATCGGGCGATACATCCAGGATCGCAGCGTGATCATTTACTTGGTCTCACCTACCCAATGTAAGGAGCTAATGCGACTTACCATTTCTGAAACTAAAGACTCGATAGAAACTTTTTGTAGCCTTGTTGGCGATTATGTAGAATATTCAAGAGGCAGTCAACAACAAGAAGAAATGAAAAAGTCGGGATCGTGAGGTCTTGTCTGATACCGGTCATCACTTGAAATGCATTTTGATTCGCTTTGTAGTGAAGTTTCTCGTAAGAGATCTATGTGTTATTGACGATCTTCCCAGGTATTCCCAAGTGTCGAAGAAGACTTAACAAGGCTTCTTTATCCACGTTGTCAAATGCTTTCTCAGTCTTGGAAGTT